GGGATATTTGGAATGAGGTGAGCATTATATTCAGAGGTTTACAGTATACAGTTGAAAAAAGCTTGTATTTTCTTGTCATAGACACACATTTCTGGGTGCATATAGAACAACATATACATCAGGTTCTCATGTCGATCCAATGGTAATTTGATATCGCTGCCATCACCATAATATAGTGTAGCACAGAATGCATGGCCTTGTAGCATACTTTGACATACTATCATGCATGTAGAAATGCCTTAGTCATTCATGTGGAGATATGACTATCACGATAGAATTAGTTACGCCAAGTAACATGTCGTACACATCAGGTAGCAGCTGAAATGTTTTAATATTTGTCATAATAAGCCCATAACCTGTTGGCAAAACAATCAAAACAACTTCACCATTTTACAATGGCCGAGATACATTTGAATGTCTCGTCTTTTACGAATATTCAAGCTCTCTTTTCCCTAGAACAGCTTTCATAGCTCTTTCAGTATTTGCCATTGAATATTATTTAATAGTAGGACAATTTAAAGCACCGTTAAACGTATAAAAAACCATTTTGTACACTATATTCTGATGAGAATCTTTGTTTAAAACAATATCGATTGTGAGCGTGTGCCCGCGCGAATTTAGTAAGCGGATTAACAAAAGCAATAAAAGCGCATGCGCCATTTATCTCATTTTGGATAAAAAAATTCGATTTCCCCAGAGTCATGCCACAACCTAACCCGCGAACAGGCATACTCTGGGAACGAGATTGTCTCGTTCCCAGAGTATGCCTGTTCGCGGGTTAGGTAGTACCTAACCCGCGAACAGGCATACTCTGGGAACGAGATTGGTCTCCAATGGGGATGTGTTTGATATTGTATATCGTTGTTTCATATGTCTTCCTACGTTTGTAACATGACAGATATGTTGTGATTGATTTGTAAACTTTTAGCTCCTAATGCATGATAACCAAACTAATACGTTTGTATTCTTCAGCAAAGCATTTCAGTTTTCGAAATTTAGCCGTCATACAGTGCTGACACACACACTTCTCTCAATGGCCCGTTTGCCAGTTCATTTCTTCCTTCCTGTAAGTCATGTACAAATTAGGTAGCGCTTTATGTACTGTTTAATAAACGAGTGCTTTATCGACAGATATAAAACACGAGAGTGCAGCTCGAATGTTTTATATCTGATAAACAAGGACTGCGCGAATGTTTCAAATGGCTTAAAAAACGACACATCTTATGAGTTCATTGGCGAAGTAATTTTAAAAATAAACGTTGTCTAAGCCGAGAAAATCAAAACCAAAGTTTATGTAAATGAACATGATTTTTTATCACATATAAAACCACCGACACGGTATTGATTTCCTCTGTCTTTTCTCATGAATTATTAATTAGTTTTTTATTTGAATTTGTGAATTATATAGTTCAAAGTATACATGTTAATATTCTGTAATGTATAGATTGTGTCAACATTTTAAATTTTATTTTTCAACCATTCCTGCATCTTATATCATATTATTTACAAAATAATGTTGCGTTTTTCTTAACACAGTAGTACATCAATGCATGTGTATTTGTGTATAGACAGGTAATATCATAGGCAAACCAGCAAATATATGTATTCTCTTAATTTTTCAAAATGCGCATAAATTAGTTCGTCTGAATTTGCTGTCAAGCGGGTTATCCTGTAGCTCATTGTGTGTGCAGATAAACACAATGATTTAAAAACATCCGAATCTGCAATCTGCATACATAATGAGCTACAGGATAACTCGCTTGATAGCAAAGTCAGACGAACTTTATGCGCATGCGTTTTTAAGTGGATACATATATTTGCTAGGTTGCCTATGGTAATATCTTATTTAAATAAATCAATATTTTTCGTGTTGTGTCTAATCGATAAAATTTATTTTTATCCTAACGGATAGATAAGTATAGATAGATATAGAGACATCATATTACATATTATATTTAGACATGGATAGATATTAAGTAGATACACAGATAGACGAAGACAATATATTGCAACTAAATTGCGTTCTACTTTCAACAAATTATAGTTGAACAGACTAAAGACAAAGTATAAGTTATTTTACAAAAATGATTAAAAAGTAAATTTAAAAACAGCTATTATACGTTAAAATAAAAGTTTTAAAAAATCCCTGTGTTTATTATAGGTGTTTGAAAGTCACGAGTTTTCCCCAGTTCATAATTTGGAGACGCTAGCCATATTTGGATATTATGCACATACAATTAACACCGCGGAAAAACGTCTGCGCATGCGTCAACCTTACCTGTAATAGTATTGCGAACTTGATGAGAAGCTGTTCCGAACGTTTCCGAAGGCTCAAAATGGCGGTAAAAAGGAGTGATTTCATTGTGCGTCTTTACAGCCAGATTTCGAGCGCAAAAATAAACATGTCATTCTAAAAACTAGGAATAAATACAGCCAGAAGGTTCAAGAAATTGTATTGTACAAGAACATGAACTAAAGGTGATTGTTGACAAATTTATCGTCTGAAACATTTTGTTTATCAACTAAGCAACGACAATTTCCGAATTTTCGTTTGAGATACATTTCTTTAAAAAAAACTGTGTCGCCAAATATAAAAAATTTTCGTGTTCACAATAATTAAACTTTAGGATTTATTCTACAATTTGAGTGGGTTAAGAAGCTTAACTTTTCGAGAGTTTTCTTAACTTTTGAATTTGAATTTTTGTTTTGAATAATTTTGCAAAAATTTTCGAAGTCGTGTCCGTTAAAATCAACAATTTTTTACATGAATTATATTTCATTCCATACTTTAAATGCCAGGACGCTTTCAATTAATGTCTAGTCTACCCATTTGCTATATTTTCTCGTTTGTTTTACTAATTTTTGACCAATTAATAAGCATGTTTTTGTTTTAGAAATTGATATCCAAATTCCCGCCATATTTTCATAATTTGGTGCATGCGCAGACGTTTTTCCGCGGTGTTCATACAATTGGTTTGCTTTAGCATCGCGTGTATTTTGCGCAACAACACTGCGGTCAGGAAACAAGCTAACGTCATGAAGCAGACCACTTGAACAAAGTAGTCGGATTTTTCGGCTCGCTAAAAGCACGAACTCAAGCTAACAATTCACACAATTGTGCTTTGACGTCAACAGTTTTAATGATGATTTCCGAAAGTCCAAAACGAAGACTTTTGCACAGTCACGGACACAATAATTATGCAATGATCATGGCGGCTGTCTGGGATGACTCTCTCCAAATATTTTCGACTTAACGGCATGATCGACGTGTTTTTTTTTTCAAACCATGAAGCATGATATTCTTTTAGCATTAAATTGCAGCCGAAGGGGATTGAGTTGTGAATTTTACAGCTACCACGCTACAAAATCTACCTTGAGTATTTTCGGATTTGAAATCGTGCGGAGTTAAATAATGTACCCGCAACAGTACGTGACTCAAGTATTGTGTAAAATACATAAACAATTCGTGAGCACGTATTGCGTAAAATTGAGTGAACGTGAAACTTTACTAAAAAAAAAGTATAAATTTGCCATAAATTTGAGTGATTTTTTCTCAATATTTTGAGTCACCGTGCGTGCATTATGTCACTGAAGTTTTAAAAACACTCAGCAGCCGGCTGTTCAAAGCTAGATTAGCACTATAACTCTCGGTTAAAATTTAACCTGCTGTTTTAGTTTATCTCTGCACGTCTGTTCATTTCAAAACTTCAGGGAAGAAAACTCCTACTGATCCATATAATATTTTTGAAGAAATATTTCCAAGTTTACAACCAAGGTGTTGGGAAGTTTAGGTTAACCTAGAGTTAAGCTAATCTGCTTCGAACAACCGTCCCCTGCAGGTTTTTTTGCAACCTGAATTTGCATCCCAATACACCATTCGATAATTACGTCACAACTACACTGTTTTCAACCTAAAACCACCTTAAATGGAAAAGATTTCAAGTTTTTTTTTTTCATGGGCGATGCACAAAGAAGCAGAACATCCTTCTTCAACACATGCATGAAAACTCGGAATTCTTTATTTTGACCAATAAATGTGGAAATAAGCTTTAACACGAAAACGAGGCTCCAGGTCAGCCTCGTTTTCGTGTTGATGCTTATTTCCATATTTACTGATCAAAATCCAAAATGAATTTTTTCGCGCATGTGTTGAAGAAGGATGCTCTGCTTCTCTGTGCATAGCCCATGAGAAAAAAAAATTGAAATCTTTTCCATTTAAGGTGGTCCTAAGTTGAAAACCGAGTGTAGTTGTGACGTAATTATCGCATGGGTGTATTTGCGAAGTGTGCACCACATATACAAGCGACAGTCAACTAGTTAAATAGATGTAGCCATGACTTACCATTTATGCTGGGTTGAAATGCCGCCAAAGTACTTGAAGCTATGAGATCACGTGTTACATCTGCGAAAGAAACAGGGAAAAAATAAGGGTTTCCGAATGAAGATGGGCGCAGTGATAGGCGGGTATTCCGGTAGACGCAGAGGATGACGTAATCTTCTGAAGTTTTTTGTACCCCAAAGAAAGTCCGTTTTCCCACAATTTTGCATTTGGAAGTAATAAGAAAGAGTAGTATAACATTTACTTATATAGTATACAATATTCAGGCATTAAAATACGGAATTTTTACAAGGACACACTTTGCCTTCAGAGGCGTATTTTTTGTATAAATGTGCAGACTCATGAGAACGAGTGGCGAAGCCACAACTCACAAGTTTAACGTCGAAGACGCGAGCTTTTAAGCGGGTCTCTGAAATGGCATTTCCAGAGTTCTGAGAACAGAATTTGCAAAATCTTTGGCCATTTTGCGTGTATTACATTAATATATTTTCAGTTTAATATATTTTCAAGTACACACTTTCCAATTTACAAGGGCACATTCGCCTTTTACAAGGACACAAAGTGTGTACAAGGACACGCTATTTTAATGCCTGACAATATTTTTCTTTACGTTAGGAAAGAATGACGTTCGCAAATCGCTGCTATACTATGGAAAAAAGAGCTGATGTGACCCAAAGACAAATGCGTTTCCAATCAGTTTATCAAACTAAACTAATCTTTTTATAGACAGGTTAGTCCAACCCAGTTCGAACTGTTCTTCCTAGAGGTTTAGTAAAGGCCATTTTCCACTAGGTGGAATTTTCCGCGTGGAGCGGAATTTCTCGTTGTCTTTTTTAATTAGGTCCACCCGAGAAATCACAAGACAAAGAAAAATTCCGCTTCGCGCGGAAAATTCCGCCTAGTGGAAACCGGCCTTTACGGAGTACCGGAGAAAACCTGCATGTGACATGAGTCAACTCCTTTTGTTAGCATGGGGTATGGTGGAAAACACGGAGAGCGGTGTCCACTCATGCCGAAGACAACTTGAATCCCTGTCGTCCAGGTGAAACGCACATTTTGCTCAGAACTGCGCCTCGAGCACACCCCATTAGTGCAATCATTGAAATTAATTCGTGATAGTCTATAGAAAAATTTCACAAATTTTCCCCTTCCCCGTTTACAATGTTGCCTCGTGGTACGGTCCTATATCGTTTGAATTAACCAACACGTACATTGTACTAGAGGAGGGGGAGAGTTACTATTTCTAGCAATCATGGACGTTTGTATTAACTAAAAATAAAATAGCTTTACAAAACAGGAAGACAAGATACGTTTTAGGATAGTATTTTCAGTGATTGTGTTATAATTAACGGATCAGAGACACCCTCGGAGGCCCTGGGAACCGAGGATGGATCAGAGAAAGATACCTAGGCGCTTTGGCATGCTACGTGATGACCGCACGAGAGTCGAGAGTTGGGTTACTGCATAAAATAAGGAAAATTCTTGATTTTTTTCTTTGATATTATCCTGAGTGTCTTCACACCCGGCAGCAAAGGTGCTTGACCGCGGTGGGTATCTGGACTGGCAAGCCAAAATTCGCACGTTCGATTCCCATCGCGGCCAAGCAATGGAAATCAGCTTGCCTACATGCAGGTGTGGAAATACTCAGAGTAACATCAACCAAAAAAAATAAACACCTGAAAAACACCACGACCACCGATGTTCTAAACAACTGTAAACCAAAATCGTGATGTCATTCGTTTGGGATATTTATTTTTGGAAGAAAGTCACCCGCAATTTTAAACCGATTTCCAACACGTTTTGGACTTGACGGGTTCAATGACAATGACAATACGATTTCACTGTAATCCGATTATACACGCCAAAAATACTGCATTCTTGAAGTTGAAACACGTACGTTCACCCATTTCCTTGAACAATAGAGGAACTCGAAAATACTTTCAATTTAAGCTTATAGCACCAATAGAGTTTCATTCAACTATTAGGCTATTTTCCAGTTCCGTGTATTTCGAAAATGATTCTTTAAAACAGGCGCAATGTAATTGCTTTTCTGAAACTTTCACCTCTGTTCATATTAAATAATTTTGTGTTTTTAATTTAAATCAAGGATCACACAAGAGGTTTTTGATAATACTTTTATTTTAGCTACGTTTCGGATAGTTTACTATCCGTCCTCAGGCTAACAAATTGTTCTAGAACAATAGGACAATTTGTTAGCCTGAGGACGGATAGTAAACCGTATCCGAAACGTAGCTAAAATAAAAGTATTATCAAAAACCTCTTGTGTGATCCTTGATTTAAATTAAAAACACAAAATTATTTAGGCGCAATGTATATGCAATTATTCATGTGGGATTACATATCAAGATATTGAAGCAATTAAACAAACGACTTAAAGTACACTACACGACTTGAGTCAACATGTCTAATCCAGGAGTTTCGTTCTTCAATTAAATACCTCGCATCATGTGAGGATTAGGGACGGACCATTCGATTTTTTATGGGGGGGGGGGGCGATTTTCTGTGCAGGATATTTTTTACTTGCAATTAATTTTTTCTTTCGCCCTGACTGCTTGCAGGATATTTTTTGCGAGTCTATATTTTTAAACCTCACATATATAATGAACAGCATTTGATCTTGGCTTCTAGAACAATCAGATGGATTACATCCTGTTGTTAAGAACGTTCAAACAATATTTTCAATCCGCACTCATTTTGAAAATCTATACCTCTCGGGAATGGCTAATTCCAGCATTCTGGGAGACCATTTGACAGTAATAGCCATGCATATTTAACTTTAAAATTGTTCCAAAAGATGTGCACGAATTTTTTCTGGGGATTTGGTTGTGCGGGATATTTTTTTCCAGGTTAAGGTTTTCTTTCTATTTGTCTAATTTGTTTAATTTTTTTCTAAGAACCTTATCAGGTTCTTTCGTGCAAATACATATCTAACTCATGAGTGCATGAAGGTGAACAGCCATTATAGAAAGTGAAAAACCTATACATTTGACGGTAGTGACATTTAGTAAAATGTATACTTATCACTTTATCAAAGAAACAAAGCTTTGTGGAAGTATCAGTATCAGAAACAATGAAAGACTGCTTTATGTTAGTTATAATGCTTGGAAAATGAGGAACGTTAAATTTGCAAATTATATTGTTAGGTGCAATTATAGTGAATCAGTGATATATTAACGCCACTACATCAATCATAAAAAAATTTTAATTGTTACATAGGGAATTGACTTCTTTCGTTTTTCTCTATTTGAAACGTGGGAGTTGGTTTCTTTCAACATAATATTTAGCTGGTTATACGAATATCTGTAGGTGCATGTAGACTATACTTTTATAAAATTGAATGTAATAACTTACTACTGGTAAGTTCTTTGTAGGTTTGCATGGCGATAACTTACATATAAACTTTTGTTTGTGGAAACACTACGTAAAACACGTTGTGATAAATATAGTATTAACGTTTGCAGTAATAAACTTACTCGTAATTTCAATTCATGTATGGACGGAAGGATTTACCCCATGCATTATGATTGATAGTTAGGCTTTTCCATTGACAACTAAAATCATACCATTTCACCTTAAATTTTATACGTGTTTGCATTTGCACCTCATGAGTTTGCATGCCCAAAATACACAGGGCCAGGTTGTTCAAAACTGGATTAGCGCTAACCCTGGATCTAAATTTAACCTGCTGATTTCAGTGATTTGGTCTGTGTATATAGAAGCACGTCTGTTGAAAACTTTGGAAAATAAAACGTCTATATTGATCCATACAAGATTCCTGGAAAATATTCCCATGTTTATAAACAAGCTGCATATTGAGTAAAATAATTAGCGAGGGAAAAGTTGACACGTCTCATTGTGCTGTCACTTTCAGATTTACGTTGCGATCTCGAGACCATCTCTTTTGCCGTAGATTCTTATCACTCTAAACTTGATAAGTTACCATGTTTATAGACTAACAATTTTACCGCAAAATATGCGTTTTTTACCCATCGCTACCTGAGATCCCAGTGACCTAGCTAAATTATACTATTGATCATGACAACACTTATATATTGAACTCTCGTTTCAAGCCAACGTATTTTTATCGTTTTTCGATAACACTCCAATGACGTCACACCCACGTAATTAAAACTTTGAAAAGAAGACTCTTAAACTTAAAGTACAGCAATCATGTGATTAAATCTGACTTTTCAAAAGTCTTCTCATGCAAAGACATAAATTTTAATGGAAGACACACTGTCATATAGTATCCTTTGCCTGCATACATGCACGATTAAACTCTGATTTAGTCAATGACTATAGAACTGTCGTGAATTGTAATCGAGTTTTTGCGATACAGATCTAGCGATAATAAGTAATATCCTTTATTGCTGATCATTACCATCCCATTTGTCGTCATTTCACTCCATTACAGCACAAAATTCGATAAGAAGTATAAATGAACCAAAAATTATCAGGCGAAAACTGTCGTGAACATCTTCAATGGATATGTGAAAAAGAAGATGTTAAAGTTCTGTCGCGTGGACATCTTCATGAAGTGTCATGGACATCTTCAGTGCATGTGTGAAGAAGACGATGTTAAAGTTCTTTATGTACATGAGATTCAGATAGAAATATAAACTTGTTGAATTTGTAACCATTAATGCATTATTATGGCACCCAGCTCATGCTCATAGGAATCTAAAAATTTAACCAATTGATGTAAAACCCAATGCCTGGAAACCTTTTTCGAAACTACCTCAAAAATATGTCTCTATATATTTGTATAAATTTTAAAACAAGTTCCACGCCAAATCTGTGGTAAAGTGTATTTTGCTGCAAACTGCTTTATGTATTCGTAAGGAAAACAAACTTTTTAACAAGAAGTTTCACTAGATTATTTTGAAAACCATCATGAAAAGGCATCATTTTATTTTGTGTAAACTGTATAGTACGCTGTAAATGTATCAAGTTCTCATGTTTCATCAATTTTTTGGCACAGCACACATGTGATGCATGTGGTTTTATGATATGATCCTCAGGTTGCTTATAGCTGGAACTCTGCAGAGGTATTATTTAACTTACTGATGATTGTGATTCATGTTTAATAACTGTTTCGTATTTCTCTCTTACTTACGATTAAACTTGATTAGCGCTAGACAGAATTGGTATATATTCTGTTATGACGATGTCCCTGTCACTAAGTTATGTGGCAAATTTAAATAAGTAAATAAATTAAGGGGTTTTTTTACTCTCAGAATTTTTCTTCGATATTTAAGCCTGGGGTTAATATAATACGTTGTCGTTGATTTTTTTTAGATTTATTTTTTCTGTGAGCAAATATCAGATGCTACCTACGCTAAGAAAAAACCTATTCACTCGAAAAAAACAGACCCTTCTCATCTGTCATGATGAAGAGCCTATATGGCTATGCCTATGGTTATGGTTTCAGTTCTGAACTTCAGTGTTCTATGCACTACTTTTACAGTTGTAAACTGTTTTACAATTGTTTTACAAACTACCACAAAGAACCTGTATATCAACTTTTATATACATTGAGAATAATCCGCTTAAATATAAATTAAAACATCTTAAGTGACTATGTATTTGTCGACCTTTTCAGCCATAAAATTGTGACATTTTGAGCCGTTCGTCAGCAGTGGGAATAAGTTACGTTAAGGGAGTAATGGTCCTTATTAAGTAAAGTACCTTTCTATTCAAAGTATGCAACGCAAACATAAAAGATTTTTAGACCGTGATGAAGTCAGAAACGTTTTGGCAGCCAATTTAATCGACGTTATATTCATTGGAATTCGTCTTTGATAATTCTAATGGAATTCACTTAGGAAAATAATTCAGTCACTTCCGAAACGTCAAAGTCTTTTGAACTTGCCAACAGTCGTATACGAAACAAGCAGGTCAAAAAAACATCTCGCTACTTCGCTCGTGAACTTATTTATTGCGCCAAAAGTGTGAAAAGGTCCCTTCCAATTGACCATACTTTAGACCCTGTATTCGAAACCGCGGGATCATTTAGCATGCATGATTGCTCTCTCACAATAAATTCCAAGGAAGCTGCCAGCTATTAGCATAAATATATGGAGAACACAGAGAATTTCAACAATATAAGCTAAACTTGAAAATATACAAGCGTTTTACCGCGTGTAGTGTTCCCTAGTAAACCAATAAAAATCCTGAATACCTTCATAACACTTTGACAATGAACATCAGTGAGACAACCGGTTAATTAGCTACGATATACCATCGATTTATTTAAAAGATTTTGACCATGAACCGAACATTAAGCAAAAGAAGTCAAATTTAATGACTTTCAATTAATTCAAATCTAACAACCCATTTCGTGTCAACATCATAAATACCGAAAAATTCAACCAAGGTTTGATTGTACACTATTCTGTGTACGTTGTGGTACTGGTTAACCTATACTATTTATGAGCTTGGCCCTTACAAATCTCATCTAGCTAAAACAAGCAATATTACAGTGCTATTGACAACATGTTTAGGTTGACACAATACGCCTCCCAAAAATACATTTAACCAAATTGTAATGTGAGATTCATAAATCTTTTACTGCCCACTAATGATATTAATTGTGTCGATAAGACATTACTCCCCAAATATACTGATTGCTAATTCACTGCTCTCTTGTCAGGTCGAAAAATCCCCTGGTGTGTAGAAAAATGCCGCGAAGTTTTACCTTGGAGAAGAGCAAAGCGTGGATTTGTTGCCATCCTGGATATGTTCAACCAAGGAGAATGAATTGAAATGTTGATTAAAATGAAGAAATTCTGATTGATGCAGGCACGTTAACTCAGCACGTATTTCTAGCAATGTAAGTATGAGAGTGGCTCACATTTGTTGGGGGTTACTATTTGCGTAGCTCGTCGTTGCGTGGGTTAATTATGGAATAGATTAACACGCCCACGACGCCTACGTATGACGTCATCTTCGTTCGTTTCCGAGTACTCAACGAGCTTCAACGAGCACTCTTCGTACTTGACTCTAGTGTCGCTCTTAATCGTGTGGTTCTACTATGACGTTCTTTCTTCGGCGAGCTTTCGGAAATTTGTGTACACTACATTAGCAACGCGCGAAGAAAGAAATTTCGATTGTTAATCATTAATGGCGTAAAATTAGATTGGAAACAGGCAAGCTTGGCTTACAACGGGGTAGTTGCGAGCCGAAAATAACTGAGTAATCTAAATTATTAAAGCGCAACGACGTAGACAACTTTTGTATTCTCGAACATATGGCTAATTATTTAAGCAAGCATAATTCTAAATATATACCTTGAGTATCTTAACATGCGTAGGTTGCACTTGAAATACACAGTGTACAGTATGGAATGAGCTAGACGACGAAACTCATTATAGCTTCTTCATACGCTGATTAGAGATATAGTCATTTTTATGGAATAAAGTCTGAGTGACGAAGTTTCTGAGCAAAACCTTGGTTGTGGTGCTGAACAAGTCGTTAAATTATAGCCATGCATTCACAAGAAAACATTGTGAGTGAAACTGAGGTCCAGGCGTTTCTAATATAGTTTTAAACTGACAGCATATATATCGCGCGAGGTGAAACTTTGACTAATATAGCAGCATTAAAAGAATAAATGTCATTGTAATGACATGTAGTTTTTTGTCTTTATAGCTGTGTTGCAGTGTGTGCTGTTTATGCCTTAATTTCTGTAACGGTTGTTCTCTAATGTTGTACTTGTGGAGTTGTGGGGAAAATTCAGTTTATATCTATAGCCGTTGATGTATAAGATTCAGAAGAACGGCTCGGTGCTTTCAATTCAATGAAATACTAATTACTATTGATAAGATTTGAAATCCCCTTTCTGGTAAAAATAAGCCCTTCAATGCCTCGATATCATAGATATAGATGAAATAGTTTCCCTTAACGACACTATCTTCGAAACTCCCCACTCTTGACACAAACAATTTCAGAATTTTTCCCATTTTTTACTTCAATCTTTACTTGTGCTGATTGAAAAATTCAGAAATTTTGCTACATAGAGAAAATGACTATATATGCACTGATGACGATCCGGGCTTATAGATTGAAAGCCGTTTGCCAAGCATAAATATACATAATAAATTCCACAAAGCTGATAAAGCAATTGCGGTGCCCAAACGAAGTAATTCGCATCGCTTTATATTCGCTGCGTGAGTTAGTTAGTCTGTTAGTTTGTTCGGAATCATACGTCTTGGTATTTATTCAAAAGTAGATGTGGATTGTAAGAAATACAACTTCGAAACGTCGAAATTCTGCTCGTATTTTCAGTTTATCGTATCTCTTCCGAATCTACAGCTGTCTTGTTGTCGTCGCCACCTGCGCAGACCGTTCAAAAATACTATGTCTTCACGCTTGTGGTGCAATCGTTTTGCGCATGCTCCAGAACAGCGCACTGTAGTACTAGGTCAGGTTCTAATTCAATTTGAAACTGAATACATTAAATCACGTTTAGTTAATTGGATATTTAGGCTTATCACACATCAAACTGCACAGAAAACGTTTGTATGCGGTATGTCACGTAATACGCGCTAAAAACTTTACTTTTACCGAAATGGAGCCAGAATTCCACAGCCTACTCATACGTGTGGCAATTCACTCAGAGGCATGATTTAAATATATAATTACCGTTGTTCCATTCTATCCTGCAATTATCAGAACAGTTGCATGTGTATAGATATGTGAGTTATTCGAAAATCATAAGAAAAAATGTCATTAATCTCGAACGTGTGCCAGTAGCGACGATAGGCCGTCGCTTGAAACATCGACATTCTGTTTGTATTCTGCAGGTAATGTGATCTCTCTCATTCCGCAATTAACACAAGTTTGGCTGATTTATATACCCAAAAGTTCATCAGCAGTTCGTTTAATCTGGATTCCCAATGGTATAGCACTGCGGGTTCGATCTTGCTCGAAACACACGTTTCAAATATGCGTGGAAACATCGAGTGCAACGCAAAAATGTTCAAACTCAAGTGGTTTCTATAAGTAAGTGGATTCGTTAATCGTTTTGTGCCATTGATCCTCACGTAATGCGTGGGTACGTTTCCCGGAAACAAATACAAAATAAAAATTAAGCTTCTTGAAACCGTAGGAATTAGAGATATCTGATGCTTATATTTCTTATTCAAAAATTTCACTCAATAAAGTGGAGGATTTTTACATCAGAGACAGTATTCTGGCTGAGGCATGGTCACGTATCCAAGTTGACGATTCAAAACTATATGTGTCAAACTGCTTCTTCAACCATGGGCGCTTCCTATTTCATGGCCAGAGCGATCAGACCAGCATTTCTGTTAGCAAGAGCTGGTCCAAAATTTGGCCAGCATGCATGGCCTTCTTTGATCCAAATTCTTTGGTCAGACCTGTCCGAAACCCATTAACCCAAACGTTTTGTATTCCATTTATTTATTTAATTGATCCCAATCAGATCGGTCTGACCGTGTTAATGGAAAGCGCTCAATGTTATCCGGTCATGGGAAAAGAGAAACAATCGATGAAACTTCAAAGTATTTAGATTTTGTAGCCTGCTCGCAGCCCGAAATTTTGTTCGAAGGAAAACCCTAATTTTCCGTTTCCAATTTTCGGGTGTGGACTGCGAGCAGGCTACATATTTTATTCCCTAGTTTGCATGCCAAATGCTTCAAGTCTCTATTAAACACCAGCGTTTGATGAAGTTCTATTTTGATTTCGCTATAGTCTTCCCTGGAACGCCAACAGCCATTAGCCACGTGTTCCCACAGTGATATAATTTATGCATGATACTTAACTTAATTAAGGGAGGTATGCAGTCTGCGAGGGCTCTCCAGTTTGTCATGCAGTGGGAGAGTCCTCGTTCGTTGATTTTTCTTTGCCATAGTGATAGGATTTTCACTAGTTGGTTTTTACTTGATCGTTCTCGAACGTGGTGTAGAGCGTAGCCAAAATATTGCATGTTATCTCAAGTAGATAAGGCGCGATTAACCACATGGCTTCATTGTGTGGGAGCGTGTTGCCATGGTAGTACCGTCACAAGCAACGCCATGTGAATACCACAATGAAGTCGGTGATGTGACTATGCGCCCACTCATTTGAAATGTGGGCGAAAGTTGACATAATCACACTTACTGCGATATCTAAAAATAAGTGCCACCTCCCAAGTGAAGGCTCTTTACTTCTACTTAAAAAGTGACTAAGACGAAGTCATACTATAGCAACAATATTGTAACTTGCATGATTTGAATTGCATCTTAATTGATTGGAAATGTTTCACGCGTGATTTACAAAAGCTGAGACAACATATTCATAAACATTTCTAACTGACGTGTGTTGAAATAAGTTTTTGCAAGTTACAGCAATTTTGTTGCTCGCATAACCTCACTGCGACTCTATATTGATTATTGCAGCGCTTTGTTTTGATGCAAGGAAATGCATGCACATGGCCTGGGTAGCGGTTGCATGAAGCCCGTTATCCCAAATGCTTTACGATTTCGATCAACATTATAGCGTAAATTTACATATGTCCTGTGGATACGATCAAATGCGCTTTACATCAAGTATTATTACATACTTGGCCTAGACTATTTTATCTTTACAACAATTGTGATATAACTTTCTTAACTGTGTTTATCCAAACCCACCCTGGAGGAAACCGGAGCACCCGGAGAAGAAAACTCGCGACTTTCGGAAGAGCGTTACTGACTCTTTTCACTTGAGTCCGTAGCGAGAATCGAAGGCGCTTGCTGTGACGACTACGCCACTGATCCAGACTCTAGACTTTAGACACAGACTGGTGTTTAATCAGACTGGTTTAATGAACAAGTTGATAAGATGTGTAGCAGTACTGCAAATTGCTCCAAGTCAGTTGGATAGTGAGCAAAATATTGAGGCTAAAATTAAACAGTGTAAAAGGTTCAAATTATGCCGATATCAAACACAAAAAGATGAGATGACATTGTTTGGGAACGTTTCCTTTCCCATCCCGCAAATTTAACGTACAAACATTTCTGCGTTTTGCCTTTGGTGAGATCAGCCGTGAATATAACAAAAGTTGTGCTACTATCATCTCTTTAAATTTTGGCAGGTGGTTAACTGTTATTGCCACAATTACTTTTGCGGGTGTTTTAGATATATTTGATGTTCGCGTCACGGTGGACATCCGTCATGATTCCCCACACTTTTCAGTTAAATATTTATTGTTATTTTAATATTTTCTGTATTGCGACACGAGTTGCAAGCTTTGACAATAAGCTCTTACAACTTTGCTTTCTCATTCCAAAGTCCTCATAATTAGTCACCGTCTTAGATACACGCTGGTATGCAATCAGTATAGTGTCATTGCGCGCCCACTCATTCAGAATTGTGGGCGAACATTTGATTAAACGATTACATTGACAATATACACTTGCGGTGACATTTAAAAATAGTTCATGTGAAAGTGTTTCGTAATGCATGTACATGAATACACGTGTCGTAGTTTTGTTCAGGAGATTATTAATACACGTGTCGTAGTTTTGTTCAGGAGATTATTAGTACGGCTATAGCCTGCGTATGGGAGGACTGTTTCACTGTTTGTTGGAAAATGCAGGCTGAGTAATGAGGCTCGCAGCAGTTCCGTCGCATTGAAACGAACATAACTGGAATGCTACCTTCAGATAAACTGCCTATCTTTTTCTTCAGTAGCCAAATCTTACCTCCGGACACGCGTGCCGGGAGGTAAGATCACGCGACGTGTTAATGACATGATTGAGCGCTCTTCGTATGCATGAAAAGACTGGCACTGGCCTTCATTTTCAAATTTCCGGTTGGAGGGAGCGTTCCAGTTCTATTCAGTTCAATGTTCCGTCCATCTAGGCTTTGTCACATTGTTTAGCCTGCGCCTCATGACATCGTTTGAGACTGCGGGCAGGCTAGCCTGCCACAGGTTAGTTTCCATTTGTCATTTAAGCTCTCGTGTGCGGATAGTTTTCGTGAGGATTTGACCTCTCGAGGCCTTGAGGAAAATATCTATCGTGTTTGATATTTTTCGCCTCGCGAGGAAAAAATCTCACCGTCTGCGGATGTTGTGAGCTAAGTGCTGAGCTGTTTGAGTCAATTAGCCAATGACAAACCATGGTTTCTTCATGTGACTTGGAGCAAAATGGAGGAAAATGCAAATGATTTTGTCATTTATGTTGTTGTTGAGTAGTTTTCCCAACGTGTGCGGTGAAAATACAGCTCAGCAAGTTGCTCTCGTGTGCGGCGGGCTTAATTCAGGCACGCGTTTGAAGGACCAGAGCGCTTATACGCTACAAAATACTATAAGTAAAAAACAGAGTAAATAAACGTGAAGTTTCAGACAAAATAATGAATTTAATCTACTGTTTAATCTGCTGTAAAGTGTAATATACCTACTGTTTGTTTTTATCTACTGTTTGTTTTTCGTTTAATTTCAGGTGTACAAGAGACTAAAATTAATATATATACTGATTAAAAATTGTACGCTTTCATTTCTCGATTCATCAATTATCTAATTATCGCTATTTGGAATAAAGTTACTCAACAACAGATGTCTTTTGGTTTAACTATTCTTGTTTAGTGCACTGTTCAGTTTTGTTTTTGCATTTTGGATTACTTTTAACAGAGGTTCCATGTTTTCTTCCAATGCAGCAACACTTCCTTTGAGAGCTTCTAAATGTGTCTTACAGTTTTTGCTTCTGTCCATACTCTGTTGAAATTCCGTAAGCAAATTGGTGACCACTTTAGTCTGCGTGTCGGTGAGGCCTTGATTCAAGACAGCCAACTGGTCCGCTAGCACGACAATCCAGACGATCAGATCTTTTCGTTCTTTTAAAGCATTGGGGACGTAAATATAATATTGGTTATCTTCAAATTTAATCGTAAACCGCCCATGACTAGCGTGAACACTTATACCGCTTCTCAGCGAGAATAAAATACCGACTTTGACTTTGTTGTCGCTCACGTTTTTCTTAAATTTTTCAATTTCCTTTGCGGGAACTGCACGTTCATGATCTTTAACTTCCACGAGGTATTTCTGGCTTGATTGCGCGGACGTGATTTCAATGTCCGCTTTTCTTCCTTGTCCGGCAACGCTGCGGATTGTGTAGTTAGGAAAGTGATCTCGTAAGATTGTTAGGACTTCCGCTTCTCCCAAAGCACCTTTTATCGCTGGGTTTTCATACTTATTCACTAGTTTAATCAAGTTATCATCACAACGTTGAACGGGTCTAAGGACTTCGTTTATCTTACTATTCAGTGAATCCAATGGCGGAACTTTTCTTGCTACTTCTTGGACCTCTCCAACGAGTTTGGTGTTCATCGCCATTACACCTGATTGCATATTCGTTAAGGAAGTTGTGACACCATTTTGCACCTTGACAAACTGTGTGGACATTGCATTGATCTGTTGATAAACAGGATTGAGTTTTTCACCCAGAATTTTTTCGATATATTCCGAGTTCTCAGTGATGTTTATCGCAAATGAACCTTTTACCTTTACACCGATTTCAAAAAGCTCAAGTAACGCGCTGTCTTCCGCGTCTTCGACCCATTTAGGCCATTCAGGTGATCGTTCCAGGTCCAGCTCAATGGTACGAGTTCTGCGTGGTTTCTTTTCTACGGGTTCAGCCATATTTCTAATGCTAAAAGGTGATATGAAATTGAATGAATTTATCGTGAACAAATTATGTGCGTTTGGTTGGAATTCGTGTTGCCCGTTACACTGTATGTTTGCTGTGCAACCGAATCTTACTCAATCAAAGACCGGAAATTAGAAGGAGTGTTCTCTCTCATAAACATGCCACGTGTACATGTATAATCAGTACCAGGAATTGTGTAATGAAAGCTACTATAATTCCTGGAAGACAGTTACGTAACGCCCGTATTCTAAAAGCTCACTCATACTCAATGAGTGGAGGTTTAATCTGAACTTCTCTTGAGTGCCAATGCTGTTTTTGAATAGCTGAAGGTCTAGTGTCATACCTTACTCGGCGACTACTCACCCTACAGCTATTCAAAAACAGCATTGACACTCAAGAGAAGCTCAGATTTAACCTCCACTCATTGAGTGTGAGTGTGAGTGAGCTTTTAGAATACGGGCGTTAGACAGGTTTAAAGTTTTTATGAGGTTATGCAATAACAAAGGTTAACAGCTAGGGAACCAAGTCTCGTTACGTCGGCACATCATGTGACCAAAAGGGGGCCGGGCGAGTATGTAATAAGAGGTTGGCCCACTGAGCTGTGTATTATACAGCTCAGTGGGTTGGCCGCGCATTGGTGGATTAGTAATCATTGTGCGTTGGAAGCGTAGTAAACGTATTAGGAACAAAGATTTTTTTCTCTCCTGTTCTTTTATACCACTGGCATGGATCTTAACCCGAGTCCAAGTAACAGTAAGGCCAGTAGTCGTCCCAGGCCACCCCTCGGTCACCCGGCCTAACACCTCACCATCCAAACGGGTAAGTATGGTGAACGATGGTGTTAACGTGGGGTTAATACAGTGGGTTAATACTGTAACAAACGAACTTAATCCGAACCTTGACGACAACTTCCGATGTTTGACCAGGAATTAAAAAACATGGAGTTTGCAATGAGCAAAGATGAAACAGTGAAGGTTCGATTTATTTAATTTCTTATAAGTTCAAATGTTTTGTTTGACTTTTATTTTGTAGTGTAGTATTAACAGTTGCTTCTTCTATTGCATTTAGTCTCCAGCCTTGCTAAGAGTTGTGAAAAGTTTAACATCAAGGTATTTTCAAACCAAATAACAGAGTGACAGTTCTGTACTTTTGCTACTTGTCCACGTTCTAAATATTGAAATATATTATAGTGAAGAGGATATTAAAGCATGTCACATGCTGCATGTAATTGTTATATTATATCAAGTTGCCTATATGGACAATGTAGCTCTTACATATGATCTTATCTTTTTATGTGTATGTCAGTAAATGTACGTACCATGGTACCAGTCAATTCCAACTGCGATCACCCTCCCCCGGGCAAACCCCTGCGAATTTTGACTTTTCGAAAACATTTTGGTCAAATTCCCCACTGCGGGCAAAAACCATTGTCAAATTTTCCAGGGTGCAGGCAAAAATTTAATGTGTATATTTGTATGTGAAAGAACATATCATTAATGTATGGATCAATTCCTGTGGTTATCATCCCCCTTCCACCGGGCAATACCCTCGGGATTTGTATTTTTTTTGCAAGAATGTAGTAAATTCCCCACCCCCGGGACTTTAAAACTTGACAATTCCCCACCTCGGGGCATCGCTAAAAAACTAAAAATAAGAAATATCAATAAGCAGTTTATAACACACATTTTTAATATCCTTTGTATAAACATATGTAAAATTTGAAAAGTGTGTTTATATATACTGATTAAATACTTGGTATTATAAACTATAGTCACTATAACACGATTATATAAACAACTGCCAAACACAAGGTAGTCGCCATTTTGAAAACTTTTGGACGTGCGCTCACTGAACTATGTACATGTCACTGGATGTGCTAGCCGCTAGATACGCGGTCAAAACAATTCCCCACCCCCGGGATTAAAGTTTCTGCATTATCCTGGGGGGGTTGCCTGGGGGGGGGGGTTGCCGGGTTGGTAACAACAAGAATTGATCCATGCATAATCATCACAAATTAATTCTAACATGGACAAAGGTGAAAGTTTTTAATAGAGAAGCCATTGAATTTATGTCATGTTGTTTTTTGTTGTTGCTTTTTTCACAGTTGTGTTTTTGAGACAAATTCAGTAAAACAGGAAACAACAACAGCTTTTTTAACATCCCTGCTCTTGTTTGACAGGCTTTGAACAAAGGCATAATTTCAATGCTCAGCACTATATTGTATGTGCATACATGAATCTTGTCATATTGCCTTGTCACCCTTGTATTAAGAATCTGAGAATTAATATGAAATGTGTTTGTTATTACACATTGACTTAGCATGCAAACTCACTAAAAGTATTTTTGTGTTACCCAAAACTGACTAAACACTTGTAATAGATTAAGGTCTTTTTATGGCAAATCTTCCCAAAATTGTTTGGGGGGGGGGGAGTGAAACAATTTTTTTCAGACATCCATCTGTCATTCACTTTTGAGTTCATTACATTTTTTGGTAATGGTTATGAGCATTACTTTTTACTCACAGATTCATTATTTTGCTGACAAATTGATTTCAGGGGGTGTCACCCCCCCCCCCCACACACACACCCTAGCGATAGCCCCGAGTCAAACTGAAATTTCTATATGCCTGTGATATTTGGCTCTTGTCATCAGAATTTACACAGGTAGGGCATCAGGTCACACAGTTTCACACATTTTCCTGGATATAGTGGTGAAAACAAAAGTGAAAGAGATCTTGAGAAGAAACGTCTGGAATATGAATTTAATGAACAAGATCAAATACTTAACAAATTGGTAGAAGGCAAGTGTTTATGAATATCATTTATGTCATAAGATAGGTATGTGTACAGAGATTTTATTTTTTAGTCCAATTTGATTTATAGAAAGACATGTATCTTTGAATTCCACTCTTCAGTCATTTACTGGAATAGCATCAAGAATAAAAGGTTAGTTAGTTAGTTAATACCTGCACAGCAATGTGTTACATTTCCTACATGATTATGCTTTCAGCACAGATTAGTGTGTTCCTATTATTTGTATTAATCTGTTGTCTAATAATTAACACCAGATAATTAATTTCTTTTATGATTTTATTCATACTTAACAGGAGAAGAGTCTAGCAGATTAACAGAACAAATCATTGTCATAATGTAAAATTTAATGCCTTCACAGGCTTAAGTATTGTTTTAAGTACAGCAAGGACAAGTAGAAATGAAGCCAGTATTCAAAGTTGGATTGAATTATCATATTACCATTAAAATGTGTAAAGTTGCCAAGGCAGCTAGACATCTTTGGATCACTTGTTACTTGACAGAATCCTCTAAGCTAATGTGGCCAAGGCTCTCAAATTATTCTTTAAATATTGTTTAGTACATATAATGTGGCACAATATTAGAAAATGTTTCATTCACTTGCTAGTTGTCTAACATGGCTTTTGTATACTCATCTGTACATGGAAGTCACTGTGGCACATTAAGATGTTATCCTAATGTACAATTATATGTACTCTACATATGTAATTGATTTTCCAGATTCCCGTGACAAAGTAAAGAATTTAAAAGAAACTTTAAACAATTGTAAGAACTTACTTCACTGCAAGAGAGATGATCTCAGAAAACACTGGATTGAAAGCATGGAACTCAATGATGTTCTTTTCCTGTTGGATAAAATGTATGACAGGAAGAAGATATTTAAACCTACAATTTCTTAAACTGCATGTGGACATACACATTTTCTCTACGAATTAAATTCTGCAACTCTCAAACATGTTTTCTTCCATCTCACTGCACCACTTGCACACACTTCGGTTTTCTAGACAATCCCATTGCCATTGGTGACCCTGTGTAGCCGTAGGTCATACTATATACCATCAGCGTGATTTTAAGGATGGCAAACAACTAAAGAAAGCATATTTTTCAAACAACTTATATTTTTCTGTGTTGGTGTAATGTACTCAGATGAATATGATGCTTGTGATGTTACTCTGAGTGTATATCCACACCGGGCAGGCTTGAAAAATATGCCTGACCACGGTGGGAATCGAACCTAGGACCTTGGGAACACTAGCCCAATGCTAGCATTGGGCTACTACTGCGTCTGCCTTATAGTGATAAAGCAAGAAAACACACAATATATTGAAACACAAGCTGCAGTACCTCTACTACCTCTAAACACAATGAAATGAAATTTGTCCACTACTGCGTTCTAGTGATAAAGCAAGAAATGTTCCAGAGGAACTTCAGAAATATACTGAATCAAAATACTATCTTCATGCTACTAAACTTCTCGTACAAACAGGTAATACCACATACTGCCTATGCCAGCGAAGGAAGGAAGCTGCAGATTGAAAAGAATTTGACTACCAGAAAAATACCAATGTCGATTAGTTTTACTTGTATTTTCAGCTAGTCGAATCCATTTCAACTACGCAGCTTTTTTATGCTAATTTCACGTACTTCATATTCGAATTTTTTTACACTATGGTTTTGGCAGAAATTGCCTGAAATTGTTTAATTTTTCTCATTAGTTGAAGTATTAGACAAGAATTTAAAAGGAGTGGAAGCTTTACGAGAACTAAGGGTGGACTTACAAACCCGGAAAGAGGTTTGTTTATACAGTATATAGGAGTATTTCCTATCGCACACTCCACTGTACCTTCTTGTTAACCCTAGGCTAGCGCTGATGCTGCTTACAGTACCGTAGGCATGCATCCTTCATTAACGAACAACGCAATATTCTTTAATTGCAGACACCAGAAAGCTGCGGATCAAGATGAGAAATTCAAATAACTAAAAAAAATACAACTTCGACATTTCGAGCCAAGGCCCTTCGTGGGGAGGTTAACACGATAGCACTTGAGAGAAACGTCTTCTAGATTGCTGTGTCAGTTCAAAACTACATTAATTTATATTCCTAACTGTTCCTGCACTACAGGAGGAAACTTTATTACCTTGGAAAATCCAGCGCTGTTTGATAGAGTCAAACTGAAAGACGTCTTTTAGCATGACTGTGATTGAAGCGAAATTATAATCACAAGCATGTACCTGCTAGTTGCAAAGCCGAAACCCAATCGCAGAGGCAAAATTAAGCAAAATAATTCAAGCACCGGCTGACCGTTGTGCCATCAGTACACAAACAAACACCGAGGTTTCTCACGACGTAAAATACTAAATATTACCAGTTGTTGAATAAATGTATGATTTCAATTACACATCTAGAGAATGCACGAACGTCTCCTTGAAGAATTGAATAGACATCTTTACTTGGAGTCGTCAAAAACCACACAGCTGAAATCTTTGGGTCTTAAAGGTAAACTTTAATTTCTCAAAGTTATCGCACCAGTCACGACGTTTTTGTACACTTACATCTTTGCCATAATACTTGGGGAGATAAAATAATATAGTAACTTAGAAATGAATTTAAGATTTTACTGTATCACCTATAGGGGCGTTTTCACCAAAACGAGACGATAAAGGTAGGTCATACAACGTATCAGAGATTCAGAGGTTCAGATTTGACCACCCCTATACCGCTATCATTAACCAATCAGATGCGTTTGTTATATCCAATTGACCAATCAGATGCGTTTGTTATATCCAATTGACCAATCAGATGCGTTTGTTATATCCAATTAACCAATCAGATGCGTTTGTTATATCCAATTGACCAATCAGATGGGTACTAAGCCAGTGAGAGGTAATGGACGTCAAAATCTGAACGTCTTGAATGCATGTAATCAGTAAGACCTAATACTCATTGTTTTATAATTCTTCTTTCATTTTGTTTTACACTTTCGAGAGTAAGTCCCTTTTTTCTTCAGATCAAAGTATTTTAAGTGTTGAAAGTATTCCTGTCTCAGAGTCACCTGGTGGAGAATTTAAACGTACTCACAGGATCACTGCATCAAGTAAATAAATATAAATGTATAAGTGGGTGTTATCAGTACTTTATAAAACGTCATGACCGTTTTGCTATCCTGATCTCTGTCTGTAAAATTTTAAAGGAAACCAGATTATGGAAGAAACATTAGCGGCAGAAAACTCTGAGGACAAAGAGGAGGTATAAAAATTGTTAGTCTAAGAACAAAATTTTCAAGTGAAAATTGTATGAAAAAATGCAGTAATTTTTTAACATTACATAACCAGTTACCAGTACAGTAAGTTTTAAAGGTCTTCTCTCAGGGATCGAATTTAAAGTCTACATAAATTTTCATTACATACAGTACGTGCTTAATAGTAGCCCTGACTGTGTACAAATTGTTGTCAATGTTTAACAATAACTTTATGAAGTCCTTCACTTTAATCCAGAATTTTACAGTGTCCATTTCATGCGCATCTTAGTTCAACGTCTTTCTTTATTACGAAAATTCGGTTCAGGCGTGTACCTGTACCTGTACCTGTACCTGTATAGTGTATATGTCTAATTTATTGTCTTGTGTATTTTACAGCTCATAAATGAAGACCTCCACATCAATCCTGAATCTGACAGTGCTCACTTCATGACGATCTTAGTTCAATGTTTGGCTTTATTGGAGAAAGTTCCAGAAGCGACTGAGGTCTTAAAGAAACGTTAATCTTTTTTAGACAAATATCTTCAGGATGGTTGGGTTACATTATATTCACTTATATTTAGGAATTGAAGAATTGTATGAAACGAGAAATGACTGGTATTGTTCATCGGGCAACAACAGAAGTCAAAGAAAGGTAGAGTAATTTTTATATTTTTATTTTATTTTGAAAATGATTTGTGTGAAATTGAAACTTTAACATGATCGTGTAACTGTGGGTTTGTCAAACAAACCAGACGTAGTATTGTATGTGGGGTGCCCTGGAGCATGCGCAGAACAGCACGTTCACCACAAGCGCAAATACATTTTTACACTACATACAAGACTTATGATTCCGATTTCCGAACAAACTAACAGACATTAAACTCACCACCGAATATAAAGCGATGGCTACATTCGTTTGGGTAATTGGGCACCGTCGTTAAGGTGCCTGTTAGTTGGCCTGTAGTACCCTCTTGAAACATGCAATATGCTTAGTGATGTTTTATTTCTTAGGATTGGCAATAGAGAAGAAATGAAATCTAAACTGGTACGACAATGTTGAATTTTGCTATACTGTTTAATGAACGAACTATCGAGCCATGGGTTTCGAACAATATTTTGTCTACACTTGAACATGTTGAGTACTACGAGATTATGTAACGTCATACATGTATACTGGATAGCTCTATAATCAGTTTTAAAATCTTCCCTTAGAGATTCAGTTAAGAGACATCTATGGCTGAATTGCAGGAACCTAATTCCGCTGTCCAAGCTAAATGCTGCATCAACCACTGCACCATTATCACCAGTGTCTATGACGACATACTGTAGCTACGTATATTAAGGGAAACCTTTTTCCACTTTTCCAGAATGTTCTCTTAAAATTATTGGAAGTTATATTTGAAAAGTTCAAAGGTGTTGCAAGGGCACATGAGGTTGTTCTTAAAGCTTTACAACGTGTTACTGCCGAGGTAAGCTCATAATTCAGCGTTGAAAATATTAGTAGTTCTGCAATCAATAATATAAAAAAATGGGATACAAATCCAGACTGGTTTTTTAACGGTACGTATGACTACATATGGTATATTAACCTACACATGCTCCTCTTTTAAGAAGAGTTATTTACTGTAAGCTTCTCGTGAGTGTGCTGTGCTGAGTGGTTATATTACTACCTTAAAAAATAAGCAGAAACTCAACGTTTCGAGCGAAGGCCCTTCGTCAAAATTTAGTAGCTACTAACTCTTGACGAAGGGCCTTCGCTCGAAACGTTGAGTTTCTGCTTATTTTTTAAGGTAGTAATATAACCACTCAGCACAGCATTTTCACATTGGTACTACCCACACTGGTACAGACAGTTTTAGTATACATTCTCGTGAGTATATACTCTTTCCCGGGCGATGCGCAAGTTGAATAAATAATACTGTAGCTTATGAAGGGGTTAGACTGTGGCAGACCAGTGTTCCATCCATGCAGGCGAATTTATTTGCTCTCATCCACTTAGCACAACAAAACAGCAATCGGGGATAAGCACGGTGATCGCGAAATGACTTCTGCCATTTTTAATGTTTGTTTACTGCTGTGCTATATTTCAGCAAGAAGCAAAGACGATGGCAGTTGAAGAACTCAGTGAAAGTACAGATGATAGCGATGAAGAAGATGACAGTGAAACAGAAACGAATGAAACATCATCACCAAAAGAAACGAATGAAACAACATCACCAAAAGAAAGCAAAGAAGTAGCAGGTGAAGAAATTTCAATCATAACTCGCACAACCTGACTATGCACGGCTTCTCATAATAAAAAGTGTGTGAGAGTTTTGTAACTAAACATAAAAATGCTTATTTTAGTACACCCACCCATTAAAAGTAACCAGGGACGGCAGAATAAAGCTCCCAGAAGTAGAAGTTGGAGGCTTAAGCCCCCCCCCCCCCCAGAATTGAATATGAGGGTGTTAAACGTTTTGCCTGAAATGAAATATGAACAAAATGCGATGGTTTCTGCGCGTCAAATGTTCCCCATTTGAAAATGTCCGAAACTTTGTGCCCCTGAAGTTTGCCTTGCCCTCCCCAACCAAACCAATCTTCCACCTACAGTACGTATTATCGAATTTGAGGAGTTCACCTTGTTTGACTATTTATTAATAAACACTTTCAGAATCAACTAAGCTCTACACAATGGAGGATGTTTGGTCGGAAATTCAGTTCACAGTAAGTTATTAGCGAGGTTCAGGTTTCACTTCCACTACCTCTCACTGACTTAGTAAGCATCTGATTGGTTAATCCGATATATCAAACGCATCTGATTGGTTAATCCGACATATCAAACGCATCCGATTGGTTAATGGTATAGTGGTAGCGGAAGTCAAATTTGAACCTCTCTACTAAATCTGTGCCATAGAATCCTGAAAATACTGTAGTGTCAAATTTTAAAGGTTGAAAACATTTCTGAATGTGGTGCGACAACCCTCGTATAAGTAGCGAGCCTTCGTTACTTTAAAGTTGGAGCATTTTAGAATGTAAATTTTCTGATCATAATTTCACTTCGGTCGTATATACGAGTAGAGTGCTTCCAGTTTGACGTAGCCGGCAGTTTATTGGGGAGCCAGGCTACTCAAGGTGAAGTTCCAAGGCTTCCCAATGCAAATAAACGCCTGCCTCCTCGCAGCCGAAGTTTCTACATAGCCTACCAATACTACATACCTGAGAATTCTGGTTTCCTAGAACTGTAGGAACGTTTGACCAATACTCTCTGAGAGAGGGCCTACTGTATACTGGACCTCTGTGAACAACATTATGGAAGTGATAAAGCTTATCTTTTTACTAGATTCAAGTTCTGCTGAGTGATTATCTTGACATACAGAACGTGCAATCGCCCCACCATCCAACTCCTGCCTCATTCTCAGAATCTGACATGTAGGTGAATGTTTAAGAAAGTTTTAGAATAAAGACTGGTACGGATTGAGCGACATACAATTATCTGGAACTATAAGCCGAATTTCGACGCCTCGAGCGAAGCCGTACGTCACTAACTTTCCGACGAAAAGCCTTCTCTCGAAACGTCGAATTTCTCCTTGTATTTTTCAGGAAGTTGTATCCCTCTCAATCCACAACTGTCTGGTTATCGTCGCTACCTACACTCGCTGTGAGGCCTGTCTGAAATATTTGACCAGATAACGTATTACTGCTGCATTTTGTATATACTGTAACGTATTGTATATAACATCTAATTAGCGTCTTGTTTCTTCTCAGGGATATTTCCTCGTTCTTCTCTCTGAAGAAAAAAGGCGCAGCACCACCAAGAAAGGTATTGACAAACATACTGTGCTGAGTGGTTATATTACTACCTTAAAAAATAAGCAGAAACTCGACGTTTCGAGCGAAGGCCTTCATTTTCACATTGGTACTACCAACACTGGTACAGACAGTTTTAGTATATATATTGACAAACATAACATTACATGAATCACGGGTCTTTAATGTATTTTGAAATAATACTGTATGCTTTGTAGTACACTTTATAATATTTATATAAGATATTTGAGCACGAGCCCAAGGCGAGTGGTATATTTGTGCTTGTGATTCGTGTATACTTACCGCGAAAATTTATCGTGTATTTAATGTTGTAGATTCCATTATTTCGGTTTGAGGGTTCGTCATCATCTCTAAGTATGAACACGTACATCAGAGAGAAAAGACAAGAGGCAGCCTCGCCAGTAAGTAAAGTCCTTGATAGACTAGTGTTTATCGTCCTGTGCAGTAGATTCATTTAGATTGCTCTGAAGATGTTCTATTGTAAACAACGTAACGTTAGCTATTAAAATTTTTACTTTTATTATGTTTAGTATTAAAGTTATTTGCTGGACTCTGCTTTTTATCTTTAAATCCAAAACCCTTCGATATATAATGTAAAATTTTTAAAAGATTATATTTGAAAGATCAGTCAAGTAATTGTAAGATATTTGTTTTTATTTAGTTCAGTATGAGCGAGGAGGATCCTTATGGCAGTCAGATGTATAAAACCAGACCAGAGTTACTTTGTCCACCAAGCATGAAAAACATCACAGGTATGGTGGTATGGCATGTTTGCAACCAGACGAATTTAGTCGTTCAAAGCAACTGCGTCAAATTATGCGAAAACGAAGTGTCAATACGCCCTTTGCAGAATAATAAAATTGAATAAAATGAAGTCAAAACAGTAGCATGTAGCTCAGTACAAAAGAAAAACTAATACCCTATACAGTATTAGCCTCTTCTGTAGACATCTCATTGGGTCACCGTGCCTGGGTTGACTCAATGCAGTGCTTTTCAGAGGTCAAAAGATGCAATAATTTTGCTTACTTTATGTAGTCATTTTTCGTCCAGTGATGAAATTCGTTGTGACTGTTGAATCTTCAATAAATTACGAACCAAAGTAAGTATGGTAATGGAATGTCAATGTAGTAATATATCTTGAGTGTAGGTAATATGTACAGATAGAAGCACACAAATACGTTTTAATTGATTAGCAAACAAACTGATTTGTTTCATCGATAAAAGTTTGAACTAGTTGAAACAAGGAACTGTTATAAAAGAATTGCTCGGACTTTTTTCTTATTAATCCGGCGGTAGAGCTAGAACCTCGGCTATAGAACCTCGTTTTCACTTTGGTGTTTAACTAATGTTTAACGAGGCTCCAGCGAAAGGGACGTACTTTCTGGAAGGGTGTATACAGAAGACAGTGTTCAGCAGCAGCCTCTTCCCCAGGCGCTTTGATTTGCTGCGCCGTTAACCCGCGCGTCTGAGTTGGAGCCTGGGGACGGGGCTGGTTCAGCAGATAAGAATTTAAAGTGTAGTCATGTGTATTTTGTTTAGAATGCGATGCATTTTGTACCAGTTCATCACAGATTACGTGAAGGATGTCTATGTCGGGGAGAAACAATACGAAATTAATCAACAGATTGATTCAGTCACGAAAGGTACGCTATATCTAATACACCGTTTCGATAATTACGACATTTTACCTGGGAGCCTCGCTCTCATGAACTGTGAGCCAATCACCTTGCATTTACTAATGAGAGGGAGGCTCAATTTACTAATGAGAGCGAGGCTCCAAGACCAAAGAGTACATCCCCACCTGAATTTGAAATTTGACCAAAAAGTATGTATGACGTAATTATCGATTAAAAAAGTATCAAATCGTTAAATTTTGTTGTATTTTACAAAAGGCAATGATGGTTTTAAGACCCTTGTCTCGGCATCCGTGACAAAAAAACTCGAAGCAGATCGACCATTACTGAAGGTAAACTTTGATTTCTAAATTGTACCACTCTCATTGGAATGAATTACATCGAATGAATTGTATGTACAGCTATTGAATATACAACACAGAATGTGCATTTCAAGATCGCTAACTACATTGTGAACCGTTGTAACATTGGTCAAGAATTCCAATCGTTTGTTCCCTTTCTTGTTAGAGTACAGTACTTGTTGAGGAAATGATTCAAGATTTGAAAGGTTTAATGCAGTCATTGCCGCTGTATGCTTCCAAGTTTATGGAGATGATTTGTGCAATCCTTAACAACTATAAAGAAACATGCTATGCCGCATATAAAAGTAAGGTTACATTTACCTTGTCGTATACTAGAGGGTTATTGATTAGGTCGGGATTTAGCTGTTTTTCCGTCAAGTTTGCTTTCCCCCACACGGGACAAGTAATCTAAATCAATCGCGCGTTCGCGACAAGAAAGTTTAACGTAGTTCAACTTTTATTGCCTGTCTGTGAGCACCAAAATTACCACGCTATACCCCTAGAGTAAATGTTCGGTATACGATTGTCCCGCACAGACAAAGCAGCAATAATTACGTAATGGAAACGACCTTGTACTTGTACGGTCAATTCACAGTGAGTTGAGTGAGTTGGAAAACGAGTTTAAGACGAGATTTGATTTCTCTTCGATCATGTAAACTGGCTGTGGTCGCTATGAAGGAAAGAGAGATTGATTCATATTTCATTCTTTTACAGCTATTGTTAAAGTAACTCAAAGTAATTCTGTCTCTCCAATCATCAGTGCTACCTGGGCCAAAGATGACGACATTAGCCGCTTACTAAGGTAAAGCACAGATGCGTGCATGTAGAGAACATTTTAGATAACTTGTTTCGCGGGCGATTAAATGCAGAGAGTGTAGACATTTATGGATACAGTATATATTTATATATTGTTAGTTAGTACTGTAGATATGACTGTCACGTGTGCAGCCGGGGTTTGAATCTTGCAAAATGCATATTTCTTGTTAGAAGAGTGCAGTACTTCTATTTGACTTTGCTAAACATTGGATATTCTTGTCGTAACATTGGACTGACGAGGGATGGTCCCTAAATGGAGCTCCAGGGAGAAGACTTTAGACAGAAAAGATAGAGCTATCCAGTATAAGTAAAGATAGTTTAGTTTTCATCACGACCCTGTAGCCCACTGAAGATAAATAGATAAACAATCTTGTTCCCCTAGATCTTTACCAAACTGGACAAATCTTCATGGACACACGAAACATCGGAAAAAGGTTGGTGTAAAAGTAAATTTTAGTGTGCTTGGTACGATCTTACTATTTCACTCAATCAGTTGCAACGTCGGAAGATGTCAACTAAAGTCTTCTTTCGCAGTGAAAGAGTTAAATTGCAGTACTTCGCATACAGCTTTGACTTTTATTATGCATTGCCATATATTGGAAACATACTAATTGTCATTTCTCTTGAAGGAAATCGAAGAAAATTCTGAAGCAATTCGTATGAGAAACGAGAGGGTCAGTGAAAGTCAATATTTATTTAAATAGTATTCTTTGGTCGTGTACAGTATATTCAATTCGGATTCGTGGATTTTAGTTCAAGTTATTTAATTAGGTTATATTTAATATTTAGTAGACACTTCTCGAATATGCTGTCGTGCACACGAAACAAAGTTTGTACTCAAGCCCGACAAGATGATCATATTTAGGTTATACAGTAGTAAGTCATTGCCAACTTTGACCTCGTGCCGTTGCCTCGTGCGCATTAAATCAAACTCAGGAAATATACAGTATTGTGATTTGCGAACTTCAATATTTTTTTTGTTATAATCGTTTTTACGGTTTACATTTCAATTATTTCATAGGAATCAGAATTGTTGATAAATAACCTTGGTGAAACCGTAATAAAAAAGAATGAAGTTATCCTCAATTCTGCAGATCTTAAGACCTTGGCCAATCTGCAAGAGAGCACGGTCTGTATGCTACATATCGTTATAATGATATTCACAGTTGAACAGCATTTTACGTATTCTTTATATTTTAATTGATTTGTTTAGGAATGGTTGACAGGTCGTATAAAATCATTCGCCAGTAGTTTGAGTGCTGAAACGACAGGGATAAATGTCCTGTCGCCTGGATCACATGAGAAATTGAAAGTGGTAAGCGGAATGAATCCAGCTTGATATGACACCGTGCATAGGCGGACGCTAAGGAGGCTCAAGACCCCGGATCCCCTAGAATTCGTTTAGCCCCCCGAACCAAACCAATCCTCCACCGTCTATGGTGGGGTGGGATGAGGGCTTTGTAGGTAGGTGGGCCGGCGTTAGGATGCATCATTATTCAGACAACTACTGCATGCGCTGTTCAGTCACTGCTGAAAAAGTATTCTGAGTAAATCTGTTTCGCCACAGATAAACAATTATACTTCAAAAGATTCTGGCCAAGAAGGCAATAAGTAACCAAAACGATAAAAACTCAACGATTTTGTGATAGTTCTTACAAATCACTTTTATCAAAATTTTATATTTCTAAAATAGTTTTTGTTTACTATAGCAAGACATCCCTCCAATATCTGAAGATATGCTAAGGTAACTGCATAATTAATGCTGTAAAATGTTAAATAAATTACTAGCATGTGATGATGAAACTTTATGCATTTTTTATTTTTTTAGAATTTTGAATAATCTTGGGCAAGATTTTCAAAACCTTGCTGAAATGTGTCTTTTGGTCTTGCATTTGGAAATTCGCTGCCATTGCTTTTATTATTTACTGCAGGCTTTAAGACAGGTACTCAGTGTCTTATTCTGGCAACATCCTATAGTTTCGTGTACGATTTTTCTTTGGTCACCAATCACAACCTATATCTTCATTACCTCCATACGTTTGATATTGTTTCTTTAGACGAGTTACGTGTGTAGCGTGGAGTCTGTTGACGCAGACACATTGGTTATTCAAATGAATAAAGATTTGATAGCATTGGAAGATATTGTAGCGACCAGTTTAGCCCCACACAAGTTTAAGTAAGTACTTGTGAATACGTCTGTTCACATAGCGTGTTGCTGTTCACTACACAACACGATGTGGTACAGCATAATAAAGAAACATGAGTACAGTATAGTACTGTATATAGTACAGTAAAGTAAAGTACAGTACAGTACAGTACAACAACAACAACAACAACAACATTTTATTTTGTGTCTATATAAATTTACATTTTTTTACAGTTTTATCACACTCAACAGAAAGATAATTGCAAGACACCGGTTGCTTAAATAACCATAATGGGCTAACTTAATAAGCAACCGTACAGTACAGTACAGTACAGTACAGTACAGTACAGTACAGTACAGTACAGTGCAGTGAAGTGCAGTACAGTGCAGTGCAGTGCAGTACAGTACAGTACAGTACAGTACAGTACAGTACAGTACAGTACAGTACAGTACAGTACAGTACAGTACACACAGATACATTTATTTTCAGATACATGTTTGAAGGTCTTGGTCATATGATGTCTTCACTGATCATTTCTGCTGCACCAAACATCAAGAAAATTAATTCAAATGGCGTAAAGAAAATGTAAGTAATCCTTCTTAGGGTCTGTCTATATGACCGAGTGAGAACGAAGCTGTTCTGACCTCCTCCAATGGACCAGTTGCATTATAGACTAAATTTTGATCATCACAAAATGCATCACAAAATTAGTAATATTCATCACAAAGAGCATCACAAAATTAGTAATATTCCAAAGTTTCGTTGAAAGAGCATCACAAAATTAGTAATATTCCAAAGTTTCGTTGCGAAATGTTGTAAAATGCGGATAATATAGCCTTGCGAACTTTGCAATTTTCAGTCATTTTGTATTACAAACGGGAAATTGATGCCGCAACACCCGATTGGGCTGTCAATTTCCCGTTTGTAATACAAAATGACTGAAAAACGGCAAAGTTCGCAAGGCTATATTATCCGCATTTTACAACATTTCGCAACGAAACTTTGGAATATTACTAATTTTGTGATGCTCTTTCAAGCTGTGATGAAATTTTTGTCTAGATCAAAATTTAGTCTATAATGCAAATGGTCCATTGGATGAAGATTTTCTAAAGAACCAAAGCAATTGTTGTAGAAGGCAGTTTTGTAGAAGGAAATTCCGAGTGTAAATTTTATACATTTCTTTGATTCCTGAGAGCTTATATCTGCATGTTATCCAACTGCCCATTCAGACAAAGGATATTTTTAAAACGACAGTTTTAATACCCATTCTATTTTTATCAAGGTCTCGAAATATTTTTGCCATTCAACAAAATCTTCTCAATATCACGCAATCTCGAGAACCTGATCTGGATAAAGCTCGATTGTATTATGACTTGCTGTACAAAATTCCTGGGGTAAGTAGTCGAAAATTTTTTTCTTAAGTATGATTTTTGTTGCGATAATCTAGAATTCTTTTTTGCTGATGTTACTCTGAGTGTCTCCACACCAGGTAAGCAAAAAATTGCTTGACCGCCGTGGAAATCGAACCCGCGACCTTTGATTGCTATAGTCGAACGCTCTACCAACTGAGCTACTGTATGAGATCAAATCGGTTGAAATAGGTGATGTTTCCCAACCCAATCTTATAGTTACTTCGATATTTGGATATCTTGTCACCGCAAGTCGCGGGTTCGATTCCCACCACAGTCAAGCTATTTTTCAGTTTGCACGGTGTGGAGAGTGGAGACATGCCCTAAAAGAGTAACATCGGCAGCAAATGTATTACTAAGCACCTGAATTCAACACCACAACCGCAAGAATCTAGAATTGAATGCCCATTTTGGGGAAACCGTTGTTTCGCTTCATTGTTCCCTATCATGTGCTCGGGTTTTAGTTTAAAAGTATTGTTGAGTCTGACTATTGTTTTACAGGACTTTTTGGTTGTGTTGGTTGAACAGGGCGCTAAATACACGGATATTGAGTACGAAAATATCCTCAATTTGTACGCACGAAGCCAGGCTGTCATCGATAAGGAAGCCAATAAACAGAGACTTGCAAAGTTAAAGGAAATTTTAAAAGAACTAAGAATCAATCAACAAACTACAGTTTGAACTAACAGAATCTAGATGAAAACAATGTGATGTAACGCAAGGTTAGTTAACGTAGAGCTACGTCTCATCCTGGAGATTGCTAGTCTGCAGAACTGGGTTCACTTGGAGGAATATTAGTGATTCTACAGGTACCGATGGATGTTTTTCACTCGCATAGTTGTATTGGTGAAACTAAAGATTGGCTATTTTTTTATGATTAAACATTTTGTTGATTTTGCTGTAAAGCATTGAGCAAACCAGAGCAATCGTTCCTGAAACATGTTTTCCGAAAGTTGGCAAACCGCGAAATATTTTTTCGCACTTTGGAAACAAATGATGTTGTTGAATTTATTGGGAAACACTTCTGCTTCATAGGAAGCAAGCAGTTTTTCCCACATTGATGTTTCCAAGTGTGGGTAATGAGAAATTATTCGTGGAAACATCGAAATGTTCAAATGTTTCAGTTTGTTTCCACAAAAATGTTTCCAAGTTTGTCCTAGTCTTAAATTTAGAAAACATTCCTGAACATGATAACTGGTGCTTCACTATAATGAATGTTTTATTTGTTTTGACCAGTATGACCCGCCTATCAGTCATGTAGGCAGTGAAACTCCCTATGTTTGCAATATAGTTTCGGAATGGTAATTGATATATATGATATGAAGGGAAACTTGCTCGTTTAAAATAAGTTATATATTGGACAATCGAAGCCAGAAAAATTAAATTTATAGAGAGAGATTTGATGATATCTATAATGACAATATTTAAAACTTTATATGCTGAACTGAAATAATGGTTTTGGCGAAATGAATAGTGTATTTTAGATACAATTGGAAAAAATTTGAAGAATTTTAAAAATATGAAAACGTGTGGAACACGTCTTAAAAAAAACATGGTTCTGTCATAGAATTATATTGACTATTGGTATGACCTTTGTCACTGAAATATTCCATGCACGTAGGAAGAAAAGAGAGAAAACTCTTCACTGGTTTAATAAACTAAAATGATTTAAGACCATTTTTGCTCCACCATGGCGATCTGTTCATTCTAACATCTTCCCCATTGGGATCCTAAGGCTTATACGGTATTAGACCAATGCTACAGGGGAAGAAACGGGAGTGCCAAGAAAATCAACTGGAAGCACTCTTCTCAGATATAACTGAGCTGGGTAACAGTAACAGAGATGAAAGATGCAATCATGCACTAACCACTCACATACCAATACCTCAATAGCCAAGTAAGGTAACGCAACGCATCGGAATGCTGAAGGTGCTTGTTAAATAGTAACCCGAATATTGCTGTCAACCATAATTCATATAATTTGTTTTACAATACAATTTATTACAAACTTGAAAGAAGGACTATAATCTATATCAAGCCAAAACGCTTTTACGAGTTAGGGCCTTCGCTCAAAACATCGAATTTCTCTTTGTATTTTCCACGTAGTTGCATCCCTATCAATCCGAAACTTTCTTATTTTTGCTACTACCTACACTGGTACAGATCTTTCAAGATTATTTTACAAGTAACTCAATATACTTATGATTACATGTCCATCTATCACGTAAACATTCATCACCAGTTCAGCTGGTGTATACGCATCTATACTGTATATTTCTGCTCCCTTAGTTTTAAGAAAAAATCCCTGATGTAAAATCCCTCAGGAAAATTGATATTTAGTAGTTGAATTTTCTCGCTTAAAATAGACTATAGTACTTTCAAGTGTGTACTGTAGATGGTTCTAGGAACCAAAAATTACCAGATAATTCTAGCCGTTTAATGTATAAGACGTCAATAGCCCGATGAATGACAGCGAAAATCTTCATGCCCCCGTATTTAAATTTGCTACCTGACACCAAAGAATTTTTAAGGTCGTGTTCTCCACAGGGTGGCCATATTTTATTTTGTTTGAACTAGCTGGTATTAATTTATTCTGAAAAGACAAAATTAGTATTTTTCAGCCATTGCAAATCTTAGAAGAAATGGATTCCCAGATATCATTTTTTAAGAACAATGGCTGTAACGTGAGTAGGGTATTGACAGTCATAAATATACTGCTTATTTTTATTTTACTTTTTTAATGACATAATTATTATATAATAGATGTCTTATCTATATTGCCTATATGCAATGTGAAGCCATGTTGTTTGAACTTTGTATTGTTACAATACTTCACAGTTGTAACACTCCTTTCTTTTATTGAAGATGAGACGATGAGTGTGTTCAAATATAGCTTGTTGCCTAGAACCTGAAGATATTATTACAGGTAATTTAAATATTTTCTTTAAGCTGTACAAACTTACTTCCGTCAGTGCAAAGTATAAACAATAATAAAATGTTATTCTTCGAATATATTGGCCCGGGTCTTTTATAAACTGACTGTCTATAACTGTCTCAGACTCAAGCCTTTAATTTCTTATACTCTCACAGGAAGAGGAAATAAAATTTGATGCTGCGTTTTATCACCACCTTTGTTTCCGATTTGTATAAGTATACATTCAGTACTCAATATTTTATCGGGCCTTTATCATTTCTCTCATAGTGGGGTTTGGGTTTGATATTATTTTAAGAATTCGTTTAAGAATTTTCCTTTGTATTATTGTATAATGTGTTTGCAGAAGGTTTTCTTAGGCTTAGCATGGCTTAGTATTTTTCAGGAATTGCAGCATATAACGTAATCTTTATACGCCGCGGCGCGGATACGGTTGACTGCGTGCACAATTGCATTAATATATTCCTTTGAGGGGCATTTAAATTTTAAACAGAGGACTATTCCGATTAGAAAAGGGGTAGTTTTACACTTCGGCTATGCCTATATGTGACAATGTTATCACAATATAGGAAATTACAGTATAGCAAACATAATTAATGCGTTATTTTCCTCAAATTGTGTTTCTAAGAAACCAATCAGTTTAAAATAATATGATATCAAATGTCTAATTATTATGACATGGCAAAGTATAGTCGCGTTGTCTGTGCGTGTGAACTTGTGTTGAGTAGATGTCTAGCTTGGCAGTTTTCAGTCCGTTTTGGCGGCGTGAGTGGAAAAATGGCAGACCATCTCAACATGAGACCCGCATTTGTCCCAGAACATTTTTTGATCAGCAGAAACAAATTACGAATGTTTCAAAATCAAAAGAAAATATTACAACATAAAACGACCAAATGAACTTTACAGTTTAACAGATAGAATGTTAACAGATAGAATGTACATCCTTGACCAGTTCACCAGTGGACCTACTGTATTTAACCTAACAATTTCCCATTCCACTATATACAGTAGATTTATCGATCAGATACTAGCGTCGGGCAGGCTGCTAATAAAAATATTACACGTCTTTTTGGTATATACCAAATAATACAAGTGGTTTACTATGGTGCCTTATATATAAGTGACTGATATATTTTGTACTCTTCCTTTTTAGCGTTGCACGTACTCAAGTTGTCGAGATGTCATTCCAGTCGCTCATTAACCACTACGTTCACGGCATCATACGACGATCTCAGGGGGTATCTAAATATCTAAATATCTAATGAAGTGTGTACTGTAGATGGTTTCACCTCCAATTTGGAGGACAAATATATACGTATATATCATGATTTTTCTGTTTTAGTTAAATATGAGCGGGATCGAAATGTTTCATTTCATCGCATGTCGAAATCAAATTATGCATGGATTGGAAACACAGCAGGTGAATACTGTATTTGTATAGTAGGGACTAATCTATCGGTATTGAGAATCGTATGATAGCTAGAACAATTAAGGATTTACATTTGAATAATAGCATTCATGCCCAATATAGTCATCGGTTAGCAGGTGTACTGTAACAGGTGGTTGAAAATAGCCTTCAGCAGTTACCAATGGTTACACATTGCCACAACCAGTTTAGGTACACCCTCGTTAAAAAAGAGTATTTTATTTGTTGTAGTGGTTGGATATGGGCCTCGACATACGTGTAATAAATGTGCTAATGCAAACGGGTGATGAGTTTTTAACAAACGGAAATGCTGAAAGTGCTTTGCATTTTTTCCGTGAAACTAGTTATCTGTTTCCTGGCAGTGCTGTTTGTTGTATTAGAGAAGCGCAATGCCACCTTGTACTCGTAAGTATCGATTTTAATGTTTTAATTATCTTTTAGGGAACGCTAGGTTTTGTAATTGTGCCATGCATTGCATTCCATTCCCAGCAAAGTGTTGTTCCAAGGTACCTGTTCAAGGATAGTTTCTTTTCGGCAATAAATGATGCTTCGGTGGATCAGTCGTTAGAGCCAACGCCTGTCATCTTCATAATCTTGACGTAACTTGCAACTTTGCTTTAATAAGTTTTTTTCACTATTTAACTCTATTTAACTCTGATTAATAGGTTATCACATACATGTAAGTGAAGCTTTTCTTGTCGATATATTATTAGCGGTGATGAACATGCGGGTTTACGGATTGAAAACTTTGCACGTCGTATTTTTTACAAGCCAAAAGATATTAAGTTAGAAACCTACACGCGGTACCTCTTTGTTTAAATTTGGGACGTTTTTAAGTATTACTTTATTTTGTAATTTCAGGATTGTTTTGACCATGCAAAGAAAGCTTGTAGAAAAGGTATAAGGACTATATTTTGCATTTTACAATGGTAATGAAACGTCTCGGCCGTTATGCATGGGCAAGTGAGTATGTAACATAGCGATATGCGACACTTGCGATTGTCATCAACAAATGGAAACCAGGCTTTTCGCATCCGAATTTTTGGCACTGCAAAGAAAACCAAATAATGAACCATGTTAATCCTACGACACAAACCATTTATCTCTTATTTAGCAATTTATCTCAGTGACGAATACGAGTTCGACGAATTACTTTCAGTTATTGAGATTTTTACGGAGTGCGGTAGATTGCAGCAGGCGTATGGTCTCTATTTAACTCTGATGGAGAGGTTTCCACATGTAAGTGAACTGATATTGTGTCTCCACACCGGGCAAGCTGAAAGGTAGTTTGACTAACAAGCCAAAGGTTCGATTCACACCGTGGTCAAACTACTTTTCAGCTTTCCCGATGTGGGGACACTCAGATGTAACATCAACCAAAAAAGAATGATTATATATTTTTATAAGCCCCAAACAGCAATCGATTTAAGGTTCTGTACATTTACTGAACGTGGGATATACTCAGACCTGACACCTGGGGTTCGTATCAAGTATTTACGTATTTACACCATTACAGATTTTGCATGGAATTCCCGGCAATTGCAACATGAATAATCATTAAATTGTCTTGAAGTTTGTGTTCAAGTTAGGAGAATAACCCTGCATACACGAAGAGTTCCTGATATATTTGTGGGAACACCTAAACAAACTACTGATGAACCGGTACAAATACTCGTACCCTACCTACGTGTGTGAATAAGAGGTCAATAAGGAAATAATACTGGTGGTTTTTTTAGCATTATTGCTTCGTGGGGAAAGTAAAGGAATTAGAAATATTACTTAGAAATAAAGAAGAAGAGGAAAAGAAGAATAGAGGCGAAGAGAGAAAAGTAATGTTTGTAATTTGTCCAATGTTTAGATTTACTGTATACAGCATGTGTGAAGAAAGGTAGTCCAACTTTGAGCTGCGGTATGAATGATATACAAATAATAGCCAAAAAGAAAATATGTGGGTTTCCGGTTTCCCGACCCTACCTAGCTTTTGGACGTCGAAATCCCGACCCTAAACTTTTTTATTGGATCATGCTTGTAAGTGTTTCCACTTAGAGGAAAAAGTTTGCGGAAAATTGAAATTTGAGGCAATATTAGGGAAATTTATCTTTGGATGTGGAAGCACTGACTAAACAAAATGGCGTCCGGTTGTTAGGAAAATTAAAAAAAAAGTTTTAAAAAAAAGTTAAAACCGACCTACCCTACCTAAGTTTTTATAAGAAGAAACCGGAAACCCACATATTTTTTTTGGCCTTAGCAAAACGTCCCGACGGAGGGCCATCGCTCGAAACGTCGACGTTTTGCTTATGTATTTTATGTAGTTCTA